GGAAAAAAGGAAAGCAAGCAAGAAAGAGAGGAAAAAAGAAAAGAAGACAAAAGACTTTGGGGAAGAGAATCGGGAAAGAGAGAGATGAAACAGGAGAAAGTGGCGTAGTGGTGGCCTCGCCTGGTGGGAAAGCAGTAATGACTAATAATAATAATAATGCTGTGGTGGTTTCCAGGTAATTTCCTATCTTCTATCGTTTGATTGGAACTGAAATGATTGATTAGGTTTCGTAGAAATATCCCCCCGCCCGGCGGGCCCCCCACTATTAATTGAATTATTTGGTCCTGGTCCAATTGAATTGAATACGATAATGCTTTATTAATTTTTCAGGTTTTCACCTCCTCCAAGTAAAATAAATAAAAAATACCACCACCCGGTAGTACTGGTGGTGGTGGTGCTATTTTTCTTCTTAATTTGTAAATTATCGCCAATTTTTGACTTTTGCGTGGGAGTGGTTAGAAATCAGAATCAGCGAGATGCTTATCTTGTGCGTGCTGGCTGGCCGTTCTGAGTGGGTGGCGGCAAGTTTTGTTTATTCCATCCGAATTTTTTCAAAAAAAATTTATTCATCGCGGGGTTAGCGGAAATGTCACGCAAGCTTAATTAAATCCGTGAATCAGATGTTGACACGTGGAAGTTGAGTCCTTGCGACGTGCGCAACTAGCAGGTGCGGGAGGGCCCCACCGGCTGTGTGATCCTTTCTTAAGCCTTTGGGTCTGGGGCCTTTGGGCCAAGACGAATGCGTCAATGCTGGATCCTGTGTCTCCTGATTTTTTTTTTTATTGGATGCCAAATCCTGTGCGCTTACGGCAGTCTGAGTTAGATCGGTCAATACGCCTTTGCTGTCTCCTTTTTATTGTTATCATCATAATTAAAGATGGGGACGGTGGATTTTCAACAACAGCGAATGAGTCAAGGGTTAATCGACAGAGACCATTCGAAGTGCACTGATAACATGTAAACGTTTTGGTTTCAGTAGCAGTTTGGTTTTAGTCGCCAGGTTAGCATGTTGCATCGGGTTGGGCAACTATGCATTGGGCCCGCAAAGTAAATGCACTGCATTAAAATATACTCATGTCACCAAGGTTTTGGGCTTAGCCCAACCATTGCTGGTGTGAATTTGAGTCATGAATAAACATTGGGCTAACCCAGCCACCACTAGCCTAAAATTGAATCATGAGTAAACATCAGCCTAAAGAAGGCCTAGAAATTTGGCCGGTGTGCAAGTTGGGACTGATATAATAATCTAATGGGTCACTAACTAATGAATTGCAGGGTCCAGACGGTGGGAAATTGTTGGCCAGACGCTAATAATCAAGCATTCCTTGGAGTAGAGCAAAATCCCAAGCTCATCCAAATCGCGACTCCGTATTTATTTTTCCATTCATTTTTAAGGGCAAGAATAGTGATTAGTCATCACAGTTGCCGAAACTCCATTCTTGCTTCAAAAATCAATTCTATTCTCCTGGTAGTATGCTAGTACCACTAGTACAATTTTTAGTCATTCATTGCATTCCTGCCTTCTAGCTCCCGCTTCTTACCTCTGGGTCTAGTCTATGAAACGAATTAGTGCAGGCTGCAGTTTTCTTATTAAGATTTAGGATCAAGTGTTCACGTTCACCAAACTCCCTAGACCAATGAATTGTCTTCTACGATTATCGCTACATGCCTAAAAGAGCACCAGTCAAATGCAGCAAAACTCTTGGATTTAGAACTGTTTAGCTACTGAAAATACTTACTGTTACATATCTCAGCTGCTGTCATCCAGTAAATTCAATCACGTGATAAATGCACGAATCACAGACGAATCGAAGTCCATTGCACAGAATCTCGAGCAGACGCGATTTTCGTTTCCAACAGCAAACAACGACGCATCCATTAACCATGACGTAACCGAAAGAGAGAATGTACCAGACCATGACATATTCCCCGAAAAGAAAATTACTACTACTTGTAATTACAAAGGGGACCAAATCAGAATCCCTAATTACTTCACAGAACTATCCTAACCGCCGAACCCATAGAGGGTACGGCCTTGCCTTTTGAGAGCATACACGACATCCATGGCGGTGACAGTCTTCCGGCGAGCGTGCTCGGTGTAGGTGACGGCATCTCTGATCACGTTCTCCAGGAAGATCTTGAGGACGCCGCGTGTCTCCTCGTAGATCAGGCCGCTAATACGCTTCACGCCTCCTCTGCGAGCCAGACGGCGAATCGCCGGCTTCGTGATTCCCTGAATGTTGTCGCGAAGCACCTTACGATGACGTTTTGCTCCTCCCTTTCCCAAGCCCTTGCCTCCCTTGCCACGTCCCGACATCTTCAATCACAGCTGTTTGTTTCATATCAGCATTACAGCGCATGATTAGAAACCAGTAAAATTTTTAAGATATGAAGAATCACGAAAAATTGCTATGAAATTTCACGCTGGGTACAGAGAAAGAGAGAGAGAAACCACCATCAAATCAGATAAAGAAAGGAACGAAAGAGAAAAAGATAAAAGTACCTGAAAGAGAAAAGCGGCGAACTAGATGAAGACAAATGAAATTGAGAGACTTCACTTGAGAGGATGGGCCGGTGACTGGAGTCATTTATAGCGAGGAACACATTTGGGAATGATCCGCGTCGAGTGTTGAATTTAAGTGATGGAGAACGTTGATTACCAATTGAACGGTGAGGATTGTGAGTTTATAGCTTGAAAGAGGATCGCTGACATGGCAGTATGCGAATTGGATTTTCACTGATTATAGTTTTTGAACTTTGCAGAAATGGCCCCTGGATTTGCAATTTATCGCTTTTCTATCCCTCTATGCTCAAAAAACAATTAATATATTGTGATTCCTCACACACTTTACAATAGTCTGATTACTAATCCAGTATCTGATTTCTGACCATAATTTTGTTGGGAAGCCACGTGATTTCAAGGTTTAGCCCATAACTATCCTTGGTTCCAAAAAGATAAAGACATAAATTGTCATTTGCAAGTGTTTTTGTAGAACTTGTGATTTTTACAATTCAATCTTTACTTTCATAAATACTAAACACAATAGAGTAATTATATGCATAATAAGTTTGTTTATGCACTGATTACATTATGGGGCAACTTCAACACCATTGAATTAATTCATTGAATTAATAGTCACTCTCTCAGATCAACGTTTGTTTCCTCTATTACAAGAATTTATGAATTGTTGAATTTAAGATCGTAATTTAGCCCTAAGAGCATGAATATTCATTCATTCAATAGATGCCACACATACACTCTCTAACAGACGAATTGAAGATGGGATGATGACTGCGTGAGATTTTACATTTCAATGAAAAAAAAAGGAAAAAAAGTTTAGGAGGAGTAAAAGTTATTTATTTTGTAATAAGAAAGGCGTAGAATTTAGGTAACGAGAAAAAAGAGAGAACGATTTGATTTTTTTTTTTTTAAAAAGGAGTTCCAGCCAAAAAAAAATGTGATATTTAAATCAAATTGCGGCGAATCTCCTTTTATTTTTGTAAAATTAAAAATAAAAAATCATTCTGGCATAAAAATATATGAAATTTAAATCAATTTTTTATGAAACCTCATAGGCCATTTGCGACGACTTTTAAAGTGGAATCCAAAGCTAACACCACTTTTGTGATGTTTTCTTGTTTTCACATTATTCTGAGAGATTCGGCGATGAATTCTAGCCACTAAATCAAAATGTAGTTAATTTACGTGTGGATAATCTGCTACAACTGTGGTTTACAATTGTTTACCACATTAGACGATTGGCAAAATATGTATTTCTAGAAGGGAAAATGTTCGTAACGTCCCTCATATTTTGTAAAATAATTTTTTTCGTCCCTCACTTTTAAAAGTGTAATTTTATATCCCTTACACATTCACATCGGTCAAATTTAGTCCCTAATTAGGTTTCCGATCATTTTTTGGCCGGAATCCATCACGTACAAGGCACGTGATCATTTTTTAAGGGTAAATTTATCAAATTATATTTTACATAATCTAATCTATAATCCTCCATATTTTATAAGACAAATTTTTTCGTCCCTCACATTTTATAAAATGATTTTTTTATCCCTCACATTACACAAAATGAATTTTTCTATCCCTCATATTTCAAAAAATGAATTTTTCCACCCCTTACTAATTATGTGTGTAAGGGAAACCCTAAAAAAAATATATGTGTGTGAATACATTTTTATTTAAACACGTGTATATGTCTATTTGATTTTGCTTAATAATACGAATAGCATAAATATATGTATGTGTCTATTTGATTTCACTTAACAATATGAATACCATATATTATACGTGATCATTTGATTTTATCTGGTATTAGCTAGTAAAAAATCTTACATTTATTGTCAAGTTGGCCAATAAAGCTATTTTCGGTCAAAATACAATAAGAATATGCAAATTAAGATTCTACTGGTAAATATTAGTCATAATCATACAAAAAGAGAAGATAACCCACAAGTTGGGTCCAATTACATACATGTGTTTATACTATTATTATTAAACAAAATCAAATAGACATATACATGTGTTTAAAAAAAATGTATTCACACACATAATTAGTGAGAAATGAAAAATTCATTTTTTGAAATGTGAGGGATAGAGAAATTCATTTTGTGAAATGTGAGGGATGAAAAAAATTATTTTATAAAATGTGAGGGACGAAAAAATTTATTTTATAAAATGTGGAGGACTATAGATCAAATTATGTAAAATATAATTTGACAAATTCACCCTTAAAAAATGATCACGTGCATTGCACATGATGGATTTCGGCCAAAAAATGATCGGAAATCTAGTTAGGGATTAAATTTGACCGATGTGAATATGTAAGAGACATAAAATTATATTTTTAAAAGTGAGGGACGAAAAAAATTAGTTTACAAAATGTGAGGGACGTTTTGGACGATTTTCCCTTTCTGGAATTTTCGTTGGGTTAAACATTACTCGTTGAGTCGTGCCAAGAATTCCACCTCCCCGCCAAAGGCGAAAGGCAAACAAGCCACTGTCCGTTTAATAGACACATCAGACTCGGAGTCGGGGTACAAGAAAGCTTTTTTGCGTGGCCGGAAAATGCGGACGCTAGTACTAGTTGGATCAGCTAATTTCACATATACCTGGTGCCCTCTAGCTCGACGTCCTTTCTTCACTCTTTCCGTTCGCCACCGCCCCAAACTCAAATTCTCCACTTCTTCGGATAAGGTTCGCCTCCGATATTCATACTATCTCCGTCTTATTATCTTCTTTCTGATTTGATTCGTTTACTCTCTCTCTCTCTCTTTTCTTGCTTGAGCTCCCGTAATACGTACTTAAAAGAAAGTGTTGTCTTAAGCTTCTACATTACTAAAACTACATAAATGATGTATAAATTTCTGGGCTTGTTGGCTTGCGTAAGAATTATCTTGAATAAGAAGCAACGCAGTAGTATCTGATATTGAGTCCAATGGCTTAGGCATGTAGGAGCTACATTGACGAGGAATGTGATGAGGATTTTTTGCCGTGGTTGGAGCAAAAAGCATGTACAAAAATATCGTCCACGCTTTCCATTGGAAAATCTGCACATGGAAGGTACATTGCAAGTTAGCTTCTGCCCCCAATGCTTGTGAATTCATCCTAGTATATCTATTTTCTGAACAGATCAATTACTTTTTATAACTGTTTCAATTTGCTGCTGTAACTCGTTTCAGACTTGCGTTAACCAACTCACACTAAGAATTTGCCTTTAGTTTTAGTTGTTCCCTTTGGAAAATTATGATCTGATATACATAAATATGCTGCATCTTTGAATGCAGGGCTCTATATGCTTCCAAGCCCATACAAGCTGGGGACTGCATATTGAGAGTTCCTTACAGCGTGGTATTTAGGTCTTCTGAAAAAGATTGAATGGGAAAGCGTTTACTTTCATAGAAAAGTTTTGACTTAAATTTTGAGAGTGCTTAATGCGTTGAGATGTTGAATTCACGTTGAGATGTTGAATTCACGTTGAAAATTGTGAAGTGGACTGACAAACTTCAAAAAATCATAATTTGTTTATTTTATCTGCTAACCACTTTTTTTTTTTTTTAATTTTCCCGAGTGTACACTAAATTGATCTTAATCATTCTGTTCTATGGTGCAACTCAGATACTGAATTTTTTGCTTATTAGTTTTTTCTCCTGGTAAGTTAAGAGTATGACTTTAAGGTGGTTTGTTAAGTTTCTTAACTGATTCTGCAGCAACTAGCACCAGATAATCTTCCTCCGGAAATTTGTTCTTTGTTTGGAGATGAAGTTAGCAGTGTCTCAAAAGTTGCTCTACTCCTGCTGCATGAGCAGAAAATGGGTCAGGTTGTTCAGCAATATTTTGAGTTTTCAATTTTATCAGCAAATCCATTTTTATACTTACCACATGTTGTGCCAGAAAATCTGATTTCTTTTCTACTTCCATCTTCAGAAATCTGAATGGGCTCCATATATCCGCCGGCTTCCTCAACCTTTTGAAATGCATAACACTGTAAATGCTCTTTCTTTTCCTAGATGATGTAGTTTGTTTTTAATGAAACAAATACCACTGGCAGTTTTAAAATACAGAGAAAATATGATAGCTTCAACCTTCTTGCCTTTCAAATATGTGCTTTGCTTTCTTTCACTGGTCATTGGTGTTTTTGTGGGTGGGGCCCACAGCATTTTTAGTCGTAAACTACTTCTTCAATTCTGGATTCTTACCATCAAACACATAGCTAAAGTTTCTCTCATAGAAAGAGTTAAGTTGTACTACTGGTGATTGGTGAATTCTTCTGTTTTAGTGGTAGATCAAATATAATGGCTTCCCTCTTGTTAAGGGCATAGTCGTACTAATTTAGCAAATATAACCTTATAGTACTGGATGGTGTTGTTAAGATCCATATCTCTTGTCGTACTAGTTGTCCTGGAAATTTTTTTACCAAATGTATTTGGTGAATTCAATTCAACAAAATTTTGCCATTATATGACCCAGCGCATTTGACATCTCAAGAACCCAGGTATTTACGAGCATTTAAGATGGCAATGTTGGGGTCTCTCTCTCTCTCTCTCTCATATGCACAGGCAAACTATCTTTCATGTGGTATTAGTGAATATACATGTCTTTCTCTTTTATGTCTTGTAAGTTATCTGCAGTTTTATTCTGATGTTCAAGAGGTATGATGTTTCGGTGACAATTGAAATTGCTGCAGATATTCTGGAGTGATGATGAACTGGAGATGATTAGACAAAGTGTTATATACCAGGAGACCATCAAACAAAGGAATCACATTGAAAAGCAGTTTATGGCAATTAAACCAGTTAATATTTTTGTTGCTATTTGTTGATTGCTTTCCTATTAACAAGCCACTGTGCATCTACTATGGGTTATTTTCTGCCATTGATACCTCTGAAACTTGTCTCCATTAAAGTTTTTGCAGCTCAATGGGCATTCTAATGGTTGTATTTGCTTGAGATGAATGGTTGTGAACCTTTTTTTGGACTATTTTGTGTACTAGTCCCAACATGTCCTGCTGTCAATCATTTTTAGTTAATCCAAGCACCTCTGTATTGATAAGGAGAAAAAGTACCATAGCGTTATATGGATACTTCTCTTTGTTTCTGACATCCTTCTATAACATCCTTTTAATTTTTCAAGTTTCAAAAAGTATGATGAAAGATGATGTTGTCTCATTAGTATGCCTTGATATTTAGATAATTTGACTTTAGCAGTAGTACTTAACCAATTTGTTTTCTTTGTCTCTAATTTCAGGCCACTGATCAATTCCCTCAATGTTTTGAAGATGTCTCTCTGAAGGACTTTGCTTATGCTCATGCTTTAGGTACAATTCTGTTGCTGTTATCAATGTGTCTATGTACTGATTATCGAATTTTACTTTTAGTTATGGAGTTTGTTCCTGTCTCTATGACAGTTCCACTATCCTATAAAGAAAAGCTAACTTCTTCTTTGTTCCAAATACACCTATCCTGTTATAATCACATTTAATTTCTGTTGATTTGGTCACCATTTCTTTAAACTTCTCTGCAAAAGATGTTTCTGGTTTGCTGTTTGATTCTGGTTTCTGACCTTCAAATTTGAATTATATCTAAAGTCATCATCTTCTTGTAAGTCAGGCAGTCTATAACTCATATTTCCTATATATGTTGCTAAGACAAAAGGCTCCAAAAATATTTTTATAAAACAAAGATAGTTTTAGATCTATTCAGTTTAAATTATCACTCTGAATTTTGAGTAAATTTTGACAAATGTAAAACACAAGTGATTTCTGTCGTTCGGTTTTTCTTTTCTGTCTATAAAAGCTAGACATTGGTGAAGTTGTCAATATATCTGGACGTATGAATTAATTTTGTTTTAGAAAAAATATGAACATTTTCTTTCTTGTTTACTGACTAGTCTAGCAGCCATTTTTTCACCAGTTTCATCCATATCATGTTGCTTCCCTCTTTTCCCACAACAGGAAATGCACAGTTGAGACACCATAAGGATTAAAATAACAACATTGTGTAAACCTTGAACTTTGAGTTGGTGATTTTATGTTTCTTCATTTCCTTAAGTTTTATGGACTCGAACATTTGGCGATGACCTCTTTCTTGACATTCCAGTTACATCTCGAGCATGGGAAAGCTCGAGGGGTGTCTCGATGGTATGCTGTCAAAAGATTGTAGTACACTTGTTTACTGTTTCTGTGATGAAAATTGGTTATATGCCAAGTAACAGTGATCAATTGCTTTTATTGTTGTGTTGTTTAGATTCCATTTGCAGATTTTCTAAATCATGATGGTACTTCAGAGGCATGTCTTATGAGTCATGAAGGAAAACAGCTCTCAGAGGTCTCTCTCTCTCTCTGCATTTTGATCATGATTTTTCAAACATTTTTACTGGTAGAACTACCATCTTTTTAACCCATTTGCCAATTGCACAGCATGAAATTCTTGTTACTGACTTAACAGTGTAAACTTAAGGTACTTGTTACAATAAAATCTCATAATTCAAGCTAATTGATATCTTGCTTGACAAGATACCTGTCTTTGAGTCTTTACACAGGTCTATTTGGACATTTGATTCAATTCTGGTGTGTCATTTTAGAACTGTACTATTTATCCTGTTCATTCTTCTTCACTGCAAACCTGATTCTAGGTATTTCTTTTGTGCAAATATTTCATAACTGATTACGTGACTCCAGAAAAGTTCAAAAATGTGATTTAGCTATTTTATGTTAAAGTAGGCTTTTATTTTTGTGCAGGTCATTGCTGAGCGTGATTACAGCCCTGGTGATCAGGTATGGTGATGTATTCATATGTCAACTCATTGAATATGTTTTACCATCTATTTGATTCTGTTATAGGTGCCTGCTGAATCATATTTATCAGCTGGCAACTGCTTTAGTTTCTTAATGTTCAGTTGCTTGGAGGTAATGGTTTCGCATTTCTGACCAGGTGCTAATAAGTTATGGAAAATTTTCCAACAGTAGCCTAGTTTTGGACTTTGGCTTCACAGTTCCTTACAACATTTACGACCAGGTTAGCCTCCTCAAATTTGAGACTCGGATATCTTCCGATATTATCTTGCAAGAAATGAAGCAGAGGCACTTCCAGGCATTATTGTTACGCATTTGTGTGCGATTTTCTCTTAACTTTTGCTGCTTGAAGTGTGCGTTACCAATAGATTACTATGATACTCGAGTTTGTGAATTTTAAACTCTGCCTAGATTTTCCACCTGCTGTCTATGCGACTTCTAGTGTAAAGTAAGTTGCTAACCTTAATACCTAGTATTCAAGAACTAGAGAGAAACAGGGAGGAACAGAGTGAGGGCGAGGGTTGCGGTTGCCTGTCATTTTTCTTGAATATCAACATTTTTGGAGGTTGAATTTGTACTTCTCTCATACACTGGCTTTAATCCATGCATCCACAGGTTGGATGTACCTAAGAAGTGGTAAAAACCATCTTGACAATACAATGAGAAAGGCGTGATATGTCCGCATTTGGTTCTAATGTCATATAGATAATTATATTGTCTGACCATGATAACTTCTATGAAGGTGTAAAACATGTTTACACTGAAACACAAGTTCGGTTTCCATTTAAATTCTACTACTGCTGCCATCTGCAGTCCATTTTTGTCCACTTGACTGCAGGAGCCAGTGCTTTTACAGTAATCCTGTGTTTTGAATTACTAATAGTTAAAGTTTCATCTTGTGACCAACCAAAAGTTAGATCTTGTGAGAGATTTCACTATGTTTGAGGCATTTGATTGGCACAAATAACCCTTTCTAATCACAGACTGCAAAAGGTATACACATCTGTTCTCTCCATCCAGATCAACATGTACTTATTTTTTAATGAGCTAGCAGTCATATGTGGCATATGTCACGAGACCTAGTTGCATGTCATTTATGTTTAATAGTGGTTAAGAATTTGTGAAGTTCTAAGTATGAGAAGCTTTTTCCGTTGTCTTTTTTACCGGTTAACTGCTTTAATGATCTAGTGAGCTGGCTGGCCTGGCTAAGTATGATTGACATTTATTTGTTTTCAGGCTCAAGTTGAGCTCAATATACCTCAGCACTATCATCTTTTTCAGATGAAGTTGGAACTTCTGCAGAGATTCAAGGCACCAGCCATTAAAGATGTCAATGAATTTAGCTCTTCTGAGAAATTATTTACAATCAAGTTGGTATTGATTCACTAACATGCTTTTCAAGAATTGATGCGATTGAGTATTAAATTTAGACATTTAAATTGTGCATCCCTTCCACCAGGCCATGTGTTGGGAGCACTAAAGATATGAACAGAATAAAAGATTAGCACTCTAAAACATAAGTTGTCTAAAAAATATCAAGGAGTTCTTCTCAGACATTTCATCTTCATCAAACTTCAGATTTTCAAACGTATGTGCTTGTTTTTTTTCTAAATATGAGCTCATTGTATCTAAATGTTTGCAACAACAATCTCTTCCTGAGAAGTTTCTCCATTGCCAGCATCAGCACATGACTTTGCTTGATCTCATTTAAGCCTGGTTGTCATGAAGGGAAGTGAAGTTTGCTTCTAAGAAAGGGAGGGGAATTCCACAATCTTTTCGTGCATTTGCTTGTGTACTATGTTCAAATGCTCAAGGTCTTGAATCCGTCTTTTTGCTTTTGCTATCTGGATATTGCAAGATGCTATTTTTCTTAGATCTGACTGATTTGCATCTATTTCTCTTTTCCTTTTTCCATTTGATCTCAGAATTGAGTGATTTGGAGTCAGAAGCTGCACAAAGCCATGGTAGGCTGGCTCGAAGTCCTTTGAAAAACAAAAGCAGGGAGATTGAAGCACATGAGTTGATACACTCAAAAATAACTGAACAAATCAATGAATATGATGCATGTATCAAGGTGATAATAACTTCTGACCCATGAGTTTCCCTTTATGATCCTATCATGATTCTGTTTTAGGATACTTTTTGAAAACTGAAATCGAGGAAAAGGACTTGTACAACATGGCTGGCCAAAAATTCTTAGGTCATTTTTGAGGCATGTACTTCTGTCGTTTCACTTTTGCCTTTTTGGTATGTTCCTACTATTTGATTATTAAATAAACAGGCGACTAGCAGAGAAGAGCTTTTTCTTCAAAGTACTAAACGTTTCAACCTTTAATTTGTGCAGTGTAATCTGTGTGTTGGTTTGGCAAGTTCATGTTATAATTTTTTACTGGTGGCTATGTACAGTCTCTGGGACCATCCACCTCTCAAAACTTGGTTAGAAAACATGCTTTAAGGAGACAAATGGCTCATGATCTTCTTAGTGGTGAGCTTCGTGTTCTGAAGTCTGCTTCTGCATGGCTGAAGAAGTATTGTGCAACCTTATTAGAAGGATAGAGTGTAGGGTTCTATTCTACATATGGTGATCCAGTTTGAAGGTGGCCTCATCTTGGAACTTAAGAGGGAGGTTCCAATTGGTTTTCCAATTCTCCAACCGCACACAAAGCTTGCTGATAGTCAGACGAATGGAAGTCGGTTTATCACGTGCCTCCTCATCGACAACCTAACAGAAAGCAGGAAGTTTTAGAGATGCATTACTCGTACAACAACAGTATGATGGTAGAGAAGGCAAGGGGCAAAAGTGCTGGAGTTGGCCATGGCGCATAGAACTCCTGTCGAGAAGTTCATTGCTTATTGTTGAGGGAACAGAAGTTAGTCGTGGGGTTGGGTACTGAAAAAGTAGTAGGTTGTTACAGGGGTTAATTACTTTTTTTCTTCCCTGTTCTGTGGGCAAACTATGAATCAAGATTTAGCCAAATTGTATTCAGCTCCCTTGTCAGTAAACACCGGATGCAGGCCATGGATGGGTGGAGTGAAATGAAATGAAAAGCAAGAACTTTTATTTGAAAGAGTCGAACAAAAGCACCCAAAAAAAAAGGTAATATTATAAGATGAAAAAGGAATAACAAATTGAAAAGTTTGCCAGAGTTGATTTGTTCATTCAGCCCTTTTATTGAGTGAAATGTTACTTTTGGATGGAGGGCAGTTCGCAACTCTTTTTCAGTTTGGAAGACCAAATAAAAACTTTTGCAGTTTGGAGGGTCAAGTTAGGACATTTGCAAACTTTGGAGGGTGAAACTGGCATTAAATTCATTAGTTCTCATCAGAAAGGGGAAAATTTTTGTTTTAAAAGGAAAACCCACAAAAAAACCATAAACTCAGACGGGACAAGGGTCCCATAGGCCCATTGCCTTGCCGAGTTCCCGAACATAACATAATGGGCTTCTGTTCGAGCCCAGTGTATTCCAATTAAAGAAAGCCCATACAGGCAGACAGCAGCGGCTTATAATCCAAGGACATCGTCAAGACAGCCTCCATTCACTCAGTCCAAACAACCGCCGCAGTCCGCAGAGGATAAAATAAAAGGGGGATCCGGTTCGTTCTAGGGTTCTTCTTTCCGTTTCATCTCTTTCTGCAGGTACGCCCAAGCTCCCCGTCCCCTCCCACTTACCATCTTCCCCAGCTTGTAATTCCTATTCCGAGCTATCAGCTTAGCCATTCTTCCGTAAATTGTTACTGTTTTGATAATCCTTTTTCATGTACTACGAATTTGCTGTATATGTCTGCTGGCTTGCTTTTTTGCATATATGCTGTCTTCTGTTGGATTGAGTCTTTTCGTACATGCCTACTTTATCTGTTAAGTAGGTAATTTGAATGCGGAAGAGTGTAAGTTTTGTGACATTATTGGAATAAGGGTTTGTTATATACTGGTCCTAGGTTATAATCCAAGTGATAATAAATCGAACATTTTTATGACGTATTAGTAATTATTAGCTCTACATCTATGAAGAATGTAATTTTCTGGGGTTTCTCGTATGTGGCGTGCGTGCTTTTATTTGGGTTTCTCTAAAATTAAGTCTTTGATAATTACTTATTTCTTTTGGTGATTACATGTGCAAAATGGTTAGGTTTTCGGTATTAGAAACCAAATGTCGATTTTCACTCACAATTCTAGAAATTAATGGCAAATTCGAACCATTTAAGTATTGATTGCTGTTTGCAAATTCATGAATGGTTTGAATCTTAAAAATTTGATATTTTCTTTTCCTAATGAATTAATAAGAAAATAGAAATTGATAAACCAATATTGAGTTAAAACCACCATCTCCATTTCAATTGTAACAACAATTATGAGTACCTGTAAAACCCCGAGGAGAAACTGTTACATAGATGTCTATTATCTTGTTCATATCTGTTTTATCTTGGCTATAAAGGAATTCTAAGAAAAATTTCGTAGCTCCATTTTATTTTGAATTGAATAGAAAATAGGTATCTTCTTTTGTTTGAATAAAGCACAGCCCATGTCACCCCATAAAGAACGGCAATAGAATAAAAGAGAAGAGGGATATTAATAATCTGCTGATATGTTTAGTATCATGTATTCATGTTCTTTAGGTTTTGCACAAATACTTTTAAAAAGTTGGGGCTCTAAAAGATTATTGCAATTATTAGGGAAAATGCCTCGCTATGATGATCGCCATGGTGTTACAAGGCTCTATGTTGGCCGCCTTTCTTCAAGGACCCGTTCACGTGACCTGGAGGATCTATTTAGCAGATATGGAAGGTAATTAATCTACTTCAGTAGAATTTGACTCATTTCATTTGCTTTTTTTATTTACTTTTTTCGTAATCTAGATAAAGTTTATGGAATTTTGGTGTAATGTTACTCCATCTGCTTCTGTTTAAGCTTTTTGTTTTCCCCCTTATTGGGTCAATACTTCCCACCATTGTTCTTTTTCTGTATTGGTCATCGGTCTTTGTTCTGGGGTTTATCCACATCAAGGCGTCTTGGGCAGAATCAGAATCCTCGTGAAACCCTTATTGCCTTTGAGATTCAAATTAACACTTCTATACAAAATCTATTTGAGAGAAATTGTCCCACGTTTCATTTTAACTTGAATAATGTTTCTGAAGGTTTATGGGCTTTTGCCCAACCTGGAGGTCTATGGTGAGAGGTTGCCCTTGGTGGAATTGGTCGCTTGTCTTGCAGAATGTATAGGAGACTTTGGCGATTCTATCTTAATGTTATTACAATTTTTTTTGATGGAAATGGCAACAATCTCAAACTGGTGTTATAGTTCATCTTTGAGGGGCGAAGTATCAGTCCTTTGGTTCTAACGTGTTGATGGCCTTACTGTTTGTGGCACCCATTTACGCAGAGTACGTGATGTGGACATGAAGCGTGATTATGCCTTTGTGGTACGCTTTTCTAGTATCTTTTTTAAAGCATCTTTTGCTATTTAAGTGCAAGAGGGAGTCCTGTAACCTTTATTTTCGTGGGCTCCTCTTCCCTTTTTATCTGCTATTGGTTGCAGGAATTTAGTGATCCTAGAGATGCTGATGATGCAAGATATAGCATGAATGGCCGGGAAGTAGATGGAAGTCGTATTATTGTGGAATTTGCAAAGGGGGTAAGGTTTTCACTGCACGCTATTCATGATCCTTCTCTCCCTTCCTGTTTCAGTTGTTTATTCTGGTTCACTTGTACTTTTCCTTTGATTGTTTGCATGTTTTATGTTGCCCTGGCCGCATCTTTTCTTTTGATTTATTTATGTTTAACTGAGCTGTTGTTATTTTTGTCAGGAAAACTTTCATGTTACAAATCATAATTTTGCTTGTTTATTCCTGCCTCTGAAGCATATTCGGATGTGTCATGTTTGATTTTTTTTTTTAAGCGGGTTCCAAAGTGGCTAAAGGGGCTCTGCTTTTTTACTTTAGGTACCACGTGGTCCTGGTGGCTCCCGTGATCGTGATTATCTTGGCAAGGGTCCAGCTCCTGGAACTGGGCGCTGCTTTAATTGTGGAATCGATGGCCATTGGGCTCGAGATTGCAAAGCTGGGGACTGGAAGAACAAGTGCTATCGATGTGGTGAACGAGGCCATATAGAAAGGAACTGTCAAAACAGCCCCCAAAAGCTAAAGTGCATACTGAGATTCCTTCTTTTTTTCCCCCCATTTTTTATGATTAGTCAGTGTTTCCATGTTCTTAACTGAGTTTTGGTTGCGCAGACGCGGGCGCAGTTATTCTCGATCACCATCTCCTCCTCGTCGTGGCAGGAGTCCAAGCCGTAGTTACAGCAGGAGCAGAAGCTACAGGTTAAACATCTTGACTCATTACTAGCTTCTCGATTTATTTTCTTTGCTTAGATTTGCTATTTTGTAGGCCTAAGTTTCCTGAATTTGGAATCCATTTCCATTGGTAAAATGTTGCTTTGCATGAGTTTTAACTTGCATGAAAGGAAGGAGGAAAGTAAAATTTATCAATAACTGATGGGCACCTTCATTTTCCTTGCATTTATCTTCAAAACCTGTCTTCATGTTAAAGTGCTTTATTGTAGGAATTTGCTGTTTTTGCACCAGGTCATATTGGATCAAAATACATTTAGAATGTGACCCTTTTTTTGGTATATACCATGTGTTTGCAGCCGATCGAGGTCTCCACCAAGGAGGGATCGTAGCAACGAGCGTGAGGAGAAAAGATCTAGGAGCCCTAAGCGTCACAGGGTATCATCTCCACCACCATCCAAAGGGAGGAAGCACAGCCCAACACCTGATGAGAGAAGCCCCCGAGAGAGGGGCACTCCTTCACCAAGGGATGGTAGGCCAACCAATGACTCAGAGTATAGTAGAAGCCCTAAAGATGATGCTCCAAGGGATGATGGTATCAAAGATAGGAGTCCTCTTGAAGAAAATGGCCGTAGCCGAAGTCCTAGCCCCATCCGTAGGGACAATGGAAGCCCCGCTGATAATGATGAAACCAATGGTTCACCAAGGGGCAGTGAGTGAGATATGAAGTATCTCAACTCTCCTTCATTTCTGTGTAATCTGTTTTGGGAGGTCTATATGTATTAATTTGGTGCTGGAACTCATTATCCCTGTTTCTATGAGATTTTATACAATCTATTACATTTGAAGAACGATTTAATCCACTTTGTTCTGTGTGTTGATACGCCAGCCAATTAGCCAAATAAGTTGGCAGTTTGATAATACACTGAATTTCTACTCCTCTCGTGGAACCAGGGAACTGCTGCTCATATTTATTTGGTCCAATAGAAACATTCAGCAGTACTTTGACTTTGGCCCTCGTCCGTTACTGCTGCTCCTCGAGTTTATTGATTTGCATTAGGGGTTAACCTCCGGTTTAGTGATTTACATTGGGTATAAACCAGTTTTCTGTTGCCCGCGAAAGTCATGGGACTAGCTGTTTAACGATTCTCCTGCACTATAATGTGATAACTTGCCTTGTCCTTTTGAAAGACGGAAGCAAGAAATCAGTTTTAGCTAGTCAAAGAAACCGACGAACTCTGGAAGAAATTTTGCAGCGTCTATATCATTAAAGCGTAAGGTTTTTTGAATTGCTGATATCAACTGTCGGCAGCGGCAAACAATATAGCAAATCACTCAATGCTGTTCACCTCCAGTAAACAATTGAATATAGCAGAGATTTCCGCTGGTGTTTCTTCGTTGTTGCTAAAGAAGCTGAGAAATGGGTATGCAAGATCCCCCCCTGCACATGCTGCTTTCGTCTTCAGGACATGTCCAAGATTAGAAGCACAAAGGAATCCCCGCCACCAACTGCATTTTCGCCGCTCCTCCCTCTCCCTCGTCACCACTCTCTTCATACTGATGCATGTTTCTATATGATTCCGCCAACCGAATTTCCACCTTTAATCGTACCTCTTTAATTTGCAGTTAGCTGTTAAGAGTGAATAACATCACACATAACGTCAATAACGGACACCTGATTCAATGGCTTGAGCTTCGTGGAAGAGCTCAAGGTGACGCCAGATGGACATAAATCAAGCAAATCCAAGCATCTTCAAAATCCAGAGGGTTAGAGCCGAGGTAA